TCAGAGGCAAGGGAGAGAAGGAGGAGAGGAGACAATGGGTCTGAGATTCAGAGAAAAAAAGAAAGGTCTAAAGAAATCACAGTTATTCATTTTGATTCAGTCCTTTGAAATATCTTCTTCTATCTCGCTGCGTTTCTCTCTAACTGACCAGAAAAGGCCATAACAAAATAACTATGAAGAAAGATCCATTTTAAGTGGAAAGATGTATTTTACTAAAGGAAGACATGCTTATTGAAGAGGTTGACTAAAAACAAGTTAAGGCCCTTTAAAACAGATGCATGTCCAAATAAAGAGATGAGATCATAAAGATGGAAATGCTGATTAAGTATTTAAAAACAATTCCTAGACATTAAGGACATTCCTAGACAGTAGATGACGCTTATTTGAGAATACATCTCAGTTTAGGTTTATTGTTTTTTTTATTATAAACTTTATATTTTGATCTTTTAAGACATTTCATTTGGACAAAATCCATGTCAAGTGAAAAGTGGAAATATGTAGAAAATAATATAAGAGTAACCAATATTAAAGGTGGGGTAGGTAAGTTTGAGAAACCGGCTCGAGATCGCTAGAATTTGAAAATACACAACCGGAGAAAATCTGCCACTTCCTTACAGAGCCCCTCCTCCATCACACACGAACGTGCACATGACCAATGAGGGCACGAGATAAGTTTGTGCACAGATGGAAGGCTGACAGGCAGGTAGGCCACCCAGTTATTTTAGCCAAAATTTGGCTAAAATGATTGGTCGTGCTTTTTACAGTACTACTGCTTCCACAGATGACATTTTTTTATGGATTTTTTGTCAAAGCACTTAAGATATTCATTGCTATCGGGATGTTAAGAGCATTCCATGGAATATAACAAAAAGTGTATCTCGAGCCGGTTTCTCAAACGTACCTACCCTACCTTTAAGAAATAAAAAATAGATTGGTAAAATCTACAAACAGTAGAAAGAAATACTAAACTATTTAGTTTTCTTTGTATTTATTCAAATCATAATTACAAAGGTTTAAAGGTAAAATGTAAAAAATCCATACTGTTTTGTTGTTCACTGATCTGCTGTGAACATTTTAAATGTTGTCGTATATAAGTGGTAATAAGAAATAATAACAAAGTTCTTGTTTGCTTTCTTCTCAATAAAGAGTGCAGGCTGACATGTCAAGGTGCATTCACTGCATTTGTCATCCTTTAAAGTGCCACTTGGTTTAAAGAACATTATGGCAACAAGGTATGTCAATGTCAAAGTAACCTTAAAGGTCCCATGTCATGGCCATTTCTACTGATTATAATTCCATTGTCGAGGTCTACTAGAATAGATTTAAATTGTTCAATGTTCCAAAATCACATTGGTTTCTCATACAGCATCTCTGTATAGCATGTGTATTCACTCTCTGTCCTAAACGGCTTGTTGGAGCTTCTGCCCCCCCTCCCTATGAGCCCAGTGTGCTCTGATTGGTCAGCTCGCCCACTCTGTTCTGATGAGTCCACCACCGTTACAGCGGAACATCAGTGATTATGTGTTACAATGGCTTTTGCAACCAGAAAATGACACCAGTAATGACAAACAGTTGAGAATGCTGCGTGGGGTCTGGGTGCCGTGTTGCGGGGCTCGCTGCTGGAGCGGACAGCCCGAGCTCGGCCGGAGCACACACACACACCCGCAGCCTCGCTGTGGGTCTGTGTGTGTGCTCGGACCGGGCCCGGGCCGGGCCTCGCCGTATCCCGCTGTCTCAGGCTGAGAAATCTGCGGGGCTGCAGCTGAGAAAAATAAGGCTGGCTGAGTGTGTGTGTGTGTGTGTGTGTGTGTGAGGAGCTCCGCGGATTGGTCCATTTGGAACAATTGGTCCATTTGGATCGTCACTTGGTTCCCGGAAGAAAAAAATGGAAAAAGAAAATCTCCAACGAGGCGTTCTGGGGCAGCATAGACAGGTATTTTCTGTGTTAGAGTTTTACTCGCTACAGGGTGTACTTTGAGGGTTTGTGACTTTGCAGACCGTTTACATGCAGAAAAAGCTACATAACACACAAGGGGACGGGTACTAACTGGAAAAGCATGACATGGGACCTTTAAGCATTTACCTAAAAAAAACAAAAAAATTTACATTTGTGTGGACTTTCTAAGCTATTTATCTTACATTTGAAACCTCTGTGAACCGTAAAGTGGTGGAATAAGAAGGATTACACCTCATACATTCATTTGTTGTCAAAGGAGAATATCAGTAAAGCTACACAAGTGTTCAACACATGAGTATATAGTGCATGCATTGTAAAATGGATTGGGCATTTTATTCAATGTGCCAATTTAGATTATAATCCATTATTTCCTATTCCACTCTACTCCAGTCTAGTCTAGTCTCTAACAGTCTTTATCCTCTTGTTTGCCTCTGTCCTTGTCTCTCCCTCTGTGGATGTAGATAGTGACATTCTGCAAATGCCAGCAGCTGTAGTAGCTGATAATCTGTCATTATAGCACATTCTTAAAGTGCTCTAAAACCTCAAGCATTTTAAACGTACACACACACGCGCACACACACACGGTACACAAAACAGATCAAATGCATTCCATCTGTCATAAGCTATAGGCTATGTGAATCTATTATACTCAATTGTATTATATTTTTCTTAAAACCCCTTGTAACACACATACACCCACAGAGGCAGACACACACACACACACACACACACACAACACACACACACACACACACACACACACACACACACACACACACACACACCACACACACACACACACACAACACACACACCCACACACACACACACACACACACACACACACACACAACACAGCACACACACACACACACACACACACACACACACACACACACACACACACACACACACATATCTAAAATCAAGCACTACCACTAATAATATATTGCAAATTGGTCATGATGGAAAAAAAGCAATGGTGTCTATTTTAAAGAGTTACCTGTGGCTATGATTTTTTGGAAGACAAAAGCTACACGTCTAATGTCACTTCCAAATTGTTTTTAAAGATGCAGACAAGTAATTTCCGGCAATTAACCGGTCTGGAAAAAGTATCAAATCTCCACCTAAAGTGCAGAGACATGATTAGATGGTTAGATACATCTACTCTACACTCTGGTGAAACTTGGTCACAGCAGCATGTTGCCATGTCTCTCTATCAAGGTCAGAGAGACACAGAAGAGAGCACAAAAGCCCATTTTGTTTTCTCTCTACTCAATTATATCTCAGCATTTCTCCATCCTACTCACTCAGAGGCTCTGAGGTGAGTATACTCCATTTCCATCCATCTTTAGAGAAAACCTCAATGCCACATGTCAAGTACTTGCTTGGACATTCACACTTGTTCCCTTTGCTCTCTTCCTGGTGCTCACTTGTTAATAGTGAAGTGGCTATCTGAACATTCAGCCAGCAATTTTCCCCTCTACTTTTCCACTCTCTTTTTCTCTGTAGTTTTCAGCTAGCTCAGTGCCATCTTGCTCTACTTATGCTTTGCGCTTTCTCTACTTTCAGCATCTTCAAACTTAACATTTTAGGCAAATAAAATTGAAAAGAGGAAAGAAGATGATATAAGGAGAAAGTAGATGAGTGGCGAGCAGAGCAGAGGGAGAGAGCTGAAGTAAAGTATAGAGAATACAGGATGGAGATGTGAGGCAAGCAGAAGTAAAGACCAGAGAGCAGGAAGTGGGCAAGAGGAGAAGAAGTTCAGACAGAGTATGTGATGACACATGAAGACTAAACATACTACCTTGAGCTAAACTGCAGACAGAGACATTTGAGTTATGTACCTCAGGTATATGAAACATTTATATCTTTAAGACAACTACTCAACAACAAAGTTCACTGCATACAATTGGGGAGATGGGGTGATCATGAGCTCAGCAATGGAAACAGAATTTAGAAAAAACAGCAGGAAAACTAAAAAGGAAGCCTAAAAAAATAAACCACGTCTTACAGCATGGCCTGTGCCCTGTACTACGAAGCAGGATTTTCGCTTAGCGAGGTAACTTCAGGGTTAACTCTGGGTTTCCAGTCGACGCTGGTTCACTTCTTACCGGGGTAGATCTCCATGGTAACTTATGCTGAACACCAAACCTGCTCCGGAGCACCTCCCATCTTCAAATCAATCTGACTATTATAACATTAGCGTTAAGAAAGCTTACTTAAATATCTGCCCCAACATAAGTAACCGGATCAAAGTAACATTCCGTACAGTCCGTGACACTGTGAGTGCAGACATCGATGTGTCCCATTATCATTCATATCACATCATCAATCATATTTCCTTATCCGAGTCAGCTTCTCGAGCCGTATCTGGCCGTGCAACACTTACATTGTCACATACTGTATGCTAAAATATTATTTTAAGCAACACGTTAAGTTGAAGAAACACTCAAATGTAATTAAAGTCAGATCCACTCGTGTCTTAAGGCCCCTACACACCAATCTGACACCAAAGAACACGTCCCGACGGACCCGACTGTTGTGTCGCCTCACGTCTCCTGCGTCTTGGCCAACAGTCGCACCGGGCGGGACACACTAATCTGAGTAGGGCGACAGGACGCTCATTGGCGGCCAGACATCTATCCACGGCCGAAATTGGCTTGGTGTGTAAGGACCTTTATACGGGGCAGTGATATAATAAACCTGTTAATGTACGAATTCAAACACTCTGTAGTTTTTTTTTGTTTTTTTACCATCTGTTCTGTATTCACCTTGCAGGTGCAACTATGTGGCTTTTATCCTGGTTTATCTGTTTAAGTCATGGATGTTTAAAGTTTAACTTCTTCATATGTCTAATATTATAGATTACTTTTCATTCAGGAAGTATGACACTGCGCCCACTATCCCACTGAGCCACAGCCTCCCCAAATTCAAGGTACAGTATAGAAGATTTATTTCCCCCACGCCAGATTATAATTACCTTTTTTATTGAAATGCCTGTTAAAACAATGGAGAAATAAAGTAATGAAAATGAGCTCACCTTCTCAGAGTCCATTGCACTGATGACCCACACACAGTGTGCGTTGTTCTCATATTGAACAGGGTAGTTAGGCGAAGTTATGACCCCTTTGGGCCCCCTTAGATTGCTGCCACAGGTACGAGCTACAAAGGAAGAAAGCAAAAGAAAGACAGAGTTTTAAAAGAGATTAATGGGGTAATCAAAAATTACACTCAGATTGGAAATGGCCTTGTTCCTGTTAAGAGAAGGGACAGAGGGAGAGTGGGCCAGCGACGGACGAAAAAGGTTCAATGTGACCAAAACTGACACTGTGGCATTTGGACACTGAATTTGGACATTTAGTTGGACCTACATACAAGTGCAAACAGTATACAGTCATCAGTTATACATATATGGGGAACACATCTAAAATAATCAATACTGTCATTGAACCAAATATTTAAAATGTCCTGAAATCAAATCAATCACAATGTCTTTCCGCATCTTCCTTACGTAGGTTTTTGGACAAATACCAGCAGCTAGTGAGATTGAACTGATTACATTTTTACATGTAGTCTACAAAAGAAATCAGAAAATGGTTAAACATGTTACTTGGAAAAATCAATTTACTTAACAAACAGTTGAAAATCCAATATTATATGTATATAATAACATTGAATAAAAGTTCATGCTGCAGAGAACAGGAGAAACAAGGGATTATTCTAGGAACTGAATCAAATTGCACAAACAATGAAAATATCATGAGATCCAGAAGTGCACAGAGTGATTTCTGAGAGAGAAAAGACATATTTTATATTGATACAAAAATAAAAAGCCATAACAAAACCCCTGGTGCAGTTGAAGAAAACACTGTGGGCTGTGGTCTGATGACAAATATCAGCAAGTATCAGGGGTTTGATTAGAACAACATATTGCATGGTCATATGTTGTCTATCAGGCCATGTCTGGTCAAGCAAACAAGGTCTTTTAAATAATTGAAGGTCACGATGATCCCAAAAGAAAACAACAGCAAATTAGAAAACTACAAACCAGGATGAGGTCCGACATCGTCTACTCTTAAGATGTGAGGCTTCTCTCTGAATAATGTTGCAATAATAAACAACACATAACTTAATATCTGCTAAAGGACAATCCAAGGGAGCTGTCTTAATGGTTAAGACAAGGGATGGACAGGTCAACTGGATTATTATATGTTGGTCCATTTAAAGTATATCTGTACTAGAATTGTATAGCAATTCATTCAATAGCTTTTGTTTAGCAATAGCACAACATACTAACAATATAATGTAACTATTTTTGATAATAGTTATGTTCACTCTGCTTTTGATACCTTTGATCCTGCAGCGTCTCCAGGTTGTCTTTTTCAACAGCATTTTTCTATAATATCTTTCCTAGAGCTTTATTTATCCATATTGATCTTGTCCTATTTGATACTAATATGTCTTGCGTTCAGTTCCTCATAAAGTCACCCATGTGTTAATGTCTTAAAGAGACATTTTTGCCAAAAAGTACCCATAAAAAAACCTTTTTCAAGATTCACAGTTATATTTAAATGCTTTCTTGGTATTTCCACTCAGCTTTAGACAACCAGCACGGTCTGCATTGGGAGGAAGTTTAACTGGTCATATATCTGCCCTTTATCTATATAATGAGTTAGCTGGAGGCGATCACTGCCATTATATGGAGGCGAAGGGCCATGACATATAGGAAAAAGCATCGGAGACTAAAAAGGACATAATACAGAATAATAGTCGGGGTGAGGAGTAAGACAGAGATGAGTTTAAATAATAGAGCAAGGAAGTTTGCAAATACAGAAAGGTTGAGAGACAAAGTGAAGAGACGTGAAGGAGAGAGGTTGGAAAGAGACGGAAAGAGAGAGTAGAGAGGGTGAAAGATTATAATGTGAGGAAAGGGAGAGAAGAGAAATGAAAGGAGGGAGGGCAAGAGGCAGGACAGAGACAGAGGCATAGAAAATACCACGGGAGAGAGGGGGGAGAAGAGGACCTCCGATGACTGATCTGCCTGTTAATTAGAAAAGAGAGCTGAAACACACTGTGATACACACACAGGTACACACACACACACACACACACACACACACACACACACACACATGCACAAGGACACACAGGAACACATTCATGGCGATTCATCCCAAAGACCAGCTTCTAATTAACATTAAAGTCTCAGCAGAGAATGAGAGAGGCTCATGGGTTTGAATCCCAGGAGAGAGATCACACCAGAGAACACAATACACCCGCAGAGCCACAGTGTAGGGACTTTAACCTCTGCCTGCCTCTTTGACCGCCTCTTTTCTTCTCTCTCTTTCTCTTTTGGCGCTCACTTTTCTCTCGGTGTATTTATTCCTATCCATAATTACCAATGTTTGATGTGGAAAATGTCAAGGCATAAATCAATGTCAAACATAATACTTTATTTGTACAGTTCTGCTGTGTTGTGTCATACTGAAAAATCACTTTTTACATCTAAAATGTACCCTTCTGTAGTTTCTGAAGTAACAACATAAGTTGTTCCACAGTTAGAAAAAACATACATACTTTCTGAATCTGCTTTAACACTTTATGAAGGAATATGAAATGTAATGCATACTGAGTGAAATCCACGCAGTCAACAACTGTTACTGCACTAGCTAATGTTAGGGATAAGTGTATTTTACTCAATACTTAAATCTAATTACCAATCACCTGACAACTTTTATTCAGCTTTAATGCTGGACATGCTGGACAGAGAGTGTGCAGTTTTTGCTAAAAACAAATGCGTAAGGAAGCCAATGGCAATGATTAGACTCAATACGAAAACAAATGTGCTAAATCTTGAATTAAAAAATACACTAGAAAGCTACATGCAGTCATCATTTCAAAAATGCTATGATAGTATTCTGTGATTCATACACAAACAGAAATAATTTAAAATTAGATACTGTAGTCATTTGATTCAATGGCACAAGAACCCACTCTTCCATTAGGGAATAGCCTTGATCAATTGTCATATTATTTTTCTTAAATGTAGTGAAATGTATTTTATCCTTGAGGATTCATACTATCAGTAGGAGTAGAAGTAATTGTTTTTCACTTACACTAACAAACCCTAACATTAGGTCAGGGTCACCTATCATATCATCGCAATATCATCATGTCCTTCCATCTCTGACTGTTTCACTCTGCCGTCATCGACTGTCTCTTTCTGACAAGAGTAGCCAGTATCATGGAGGCAGGCAGATTCCTGCAGTCACAGACATACAGACACAAACACCCAACCACACACTCTTACTATAATACAATCTGACAGGGACCCTATAGTGTGTGTCTGAGCACAGGGACTTCCTGTCCGTCAAACACACCCACAGCTCAAGGCGAATACTGTTGCAACTATGAAGTGTGTGTGACATTGTCCTTCGGACACTTGCTGTCAATGCAAGTGTGTGTTGTGTGCACACACACTTTGGTGTGTATGCTCTCTGTCTGCCTTTTTATTGTGAAGTATTAAACCCAACAGGGTATTGTCAGTAAACATGCGGGTATTGAGAGCCCCTGCATCATTGCTCTGACACTCACACTGTTATGTATTTAGTCACTCAGCCATTCAGTCAGAAATTGAATCATGATTTCAAAACATCAACAAACAACACCATGTCAATTACTTTGATACCATTCACTGTGTTTTCAAAGATAGTAAACTTTTATAAAATGCCAGCAAAATAAAATACCCAGGCCCATCTTCCATAATGTCAGTACTGTAGATGTAGCTATTCAATCTTTATTTCAGACTCAAGGTCCATATCACATACAAAATGACAAAATACACAACAATAAATAAGATTAAAAAGCTAAACAAAAAAACAGATGAAAAACATCAAATCAGTCCAATTACAGCTAGCCACACATGCTCACTGTCTGTAGAGGCTGTTGCGCCAATGTCTCCAAATCATGGAAGAGAACCGAGTAGAACTCTTCACAGGGTTAATTAAAATCGAGATAACATGATTGTCTGACTCTTCCAGGCGACACATGAATTTGTACATTACATTTCTTAAAAGGGCTTGACAGGTAGGTACCCCCAAGTTAACAAACAGCTGGCTGGCACTGTGCCATCTTGGTACCCTCACCAGCAACCGTAAAGCATCATTGTATGCAACTTTTAGTTTTTGCATGCTGCTAGCCTTGTACAGTAGTTACTCCACAGGTGAGCCGTGTACACTGGTGTACAGAAAGCTTTAAAAAGTGATACCTTGACATCTACAGAGCACTTGTTACATTTCCGCATTAATATGTTTGCCTGGGCATACAGTTTGCAGTGTTGTCTATGGATGTCTTTGTCACCTGTGAGATCATCAGAGATATAATGACCAAGGTACTTAATCTCACTGCACACAAGAAGAATGTTGCTACTGAGAATAAAATGAGGAAATACAGCCTTTTTATCCTCTTTACTTCGCACAATCATGATGCTACTCTTCTTGGCGTTATACTTAATATTAAAATCAATGCCATACTGGGAACAAATCCTCAGAAGCTCTTGTAAGCCTGCACTGTACGGGGAAAAGATGACTAAATCATCTGCGTACATAAGGTGGTTGACAACAGTTAGTATCACCGATGACACAGCCAGTTTTACACAAGTTCAGTTTCCTAGACAGATCATCCATGTACAGATTAAACAACAAAGGAGGGGTTAGTTACATGTATTTTACTCTAAATGCTTTAACATTACATGTTACTTATTAGACGCTTTTTTCCAAAGTGACTTACACACTCAATACTGTGGGCAATCCCCACAGGAGCAATTTGGGGTGAAGTATCTTGCCCAGGGACACAACGACATGCTGACTGCAGTGGGGTTTGAACCTGTGACCTCCTGATCCCAACACCAAGGCTCTATCCACTGCGCCACACGCCTCTTTTAAACATGGGGATCCGGATTGCATGTGTTTGTCCAGGCTTACATTTCTATCCATTTTAGTTGACACACAACTTAGTGTGTGTGTGTAGTATGAGCTGAGAGCAGTTTGTTTTCTAACCATTTTTAAATGGATCAAATAAAAAAATCCTATTTTAGACTTGTTCTTTTTGTAAGTTATATAAAAACATTTGGGACCATTCCTGCTTTCTATGCTCAACTACCTCAAAGCTAAAAACATTTTTCCTACAATGGAAACAGCCATCATTGAGCAAAAGGATTCATTTAAATGCTGAAACGTCAGAAATATGGGCAGTGAATCAAAGGTCTGGAGCCAGATGTAAGTATTGAAGCACTAAATATTCACTGCAACATTGAAAATATTTAGAGGCATTTAACATGAATCAAGTCTATTGGGTTTAATATAGTATGTTTAAAACCAACTGGTTTATTTGTATTTCTAAGTTTTGTAATGACTTTGCATGGAGAGCTCTCAGCTATTGTATGCTCTGAACCTTTCAACCCTCCTGAGCAGAGGAGCTCAGACAGGGACCGTGTGACTGTTTCAGTGTCCAGGCTGATAATTGAAGGTGAACAGGGGTTAGACATCAGGGATTTGTGGCTTTGGAACAACAGCACAGGGATCTCAGGCAGCAGTAAACACCATAGCATAGGTGGACTTTGTTTATCCTTTTATTATGATCAACAAATCCCCTGAAGAAAGGAAAACTAACAATGCATCTATCCGACTAACACCCTTTGTGTGGCCAAACTTTAATAAAGCTTACACATTCCTGCCATGAGAGTCCACTAATAACCAAAAACTATTAGAAGCACATTTCATGTCATGAAGTTGCATTTACGTGACATGCTCCTGCCTGATGGTGAACATGCAAGTATAGTATCAGCTACCCTCATTTTGACCCCCTGGACCTCTTGGGGGATAATAGCTTAACATCAGGGTTGATGGTTTCATTCCTGGCTTATTCTAACTGTATGCTGTGTGTCCTTAAGAAAAGCATCGCTGTATGAATATGTATATGTAAATAAATATACATCTGTTATTTGTCCTATTTTATTGATGTGGGGCAACGTTGTTATCAATGATGCTATGTAAAAGTATACATAGTTGCTTTATGCACACATTATACAATCCAAACAAAAATAGACTCAATGCAAATCGATACGGAGCAGCTGGCGTGCTTTGAAAGACACGTCCTTAAGCTGTGGGTGGACATGAACCTATTGTATGAACAAGCTCAAACTCTAATGCATTGACACCTAGTCATAAGAGTTTCAGAGGGAATGACAGGTGAAACTTACTTCTGCAGATTGGTCTGTGGTCACTCCAGGCAGCCAGTGTGTCAGTGACTCGCTGACAGGTGATACTTTTAGATCCTTGTAGTACATAGCTGTCATCACAGCTGAACTGGACGCTGGATCCAATTCTATATAAGGAGACACAACAGGAACAACACGTGTCAAAAAAACAGTAGAAACTCTATAAAATCTAGCACTCACTGCCTCATAAAGGGTGATATTGTCACACTTTTAGAGACCTCTTACACTCCATCCAGGGTTATGTCTTAAGAGAACTGAGAAGGAAGATAATTGTAGAAGTAATGTATGAATGATGGCCGTGATATTAATGATGCAGTGGCTTTTAGATCCCTGTGGAACAAATCTGTCTCCACAGATGACCCAATTAGGATCTATAATTCCTCTCTTAATGTAAGACGCTTTATCTTTTATCACTTATGCCTTTTTCTCAATGACCGATTTTCTTTCCTTTTATTGGTTCATTCTTTCCCTTTTTCACTTATCTGGCCTCGCCTCTCATCATTTGCTCTTATCATTCCTGTTTTCTCATTTTCTCCAACACCCCGCTGTCTACCTCGCGAGAGGGACATTCAACCATCTGAGTGGAAGACTGCATGGTGTCTTATCTGCAAAGCTTAATGTCTCCACCCCGCTGATGCACACCACAGTCTACCACCTGGCCAAACATTTCCTACGTAGGGTTCTGGGTGTTCAGAGGCTCCACCCTGTTGTTAAACACTGTAGAGTTTCACTGCCTGGCCAAATCTCTCAGTTAGTGCCTTTGTCACGGAGAGTTGGGTCATTCACTTTACAGCTTCTGCTACTTCGGCGACGCTGATGACACTGAAAATAACTCCCATCCAGACGCATACTGTGAAATTTACAATTACAGGAAAGAAAACTTTGTTGTTATCTCTATTTCCGAGAAAAGAACTAAAAACCTTTCTGCTGCAGTTGTGTATGTGGAAGTCAGTGAATCCAAACTGCCGTGACACACTAAGTGACAGCCACACGCAGTTCTGCACTGCCCAACAGTGACAACTCTTTTGTTATCTCTGCAGCAATGTTCTCTCTCTCTATTTCTCCTGTTTTACTTCATCACACCCCAACTCTGTTCCAGTTCCTGCTCCTCAAAGCTTAATGATGATTACATACAAACCTGTTACACACACCAACCACATCCATGCCAACATGCATACAAACTGGCACACGCTCAGAGATAAACACACAAACGTGCACACACACTGAGGTAATGACTTTTCACTAACTCAGACTCCACTAAACTCCACTAATAGTCCCGCAGAGTTTGTGCAGTCAAAGTTGCTAATGGTAGAGAACACACCATGAGCTGGAGATTAAAAGATGATTATCCTTTAGAGGTTTTTTTTGGCCTGAAAAATGTATCATAAAAAGGTAAAATAGTAATGCCCGTTTTGATTCTCTGACAATAACGAGAAAAACATATACGCAATTTAGCCGCCACTGATGCTAAGTGGTTGAGTCATAGGGAGAGGTGATCATTTTATAATTGCTCACTCCTGACTAAATGAAATAATGTCTTTCTTTGTACTGATAAGATGGCAGACACCATGGAGTGAATCATTTAAAATCCCCATGACCACCAAGTCCTTGTTTATTGGCAAAGATTCTGCTTTTTAAAAATGACTTCCCATTCTCCGTTTATAACCCTTTTATAGGTAATGACCCTTTAAACCTCCAGGAGGGTCATACTGTAAGTAATGAAAATGGTTAAATGCTGATGGTTAACAGTGGGTCTCTGGACAGGCTGCCCAGATCATTTGCTCTATGCAATTTTAGTTTGAGTGTGTGTGTGTGTGTGTGTGTGTGTGTGTGTGTGTGTGTGTGTGTGTGTGTGTGTGTGTGTGTGTGTGTGTGTGTGTGTGTGTGTGTGTGTGTGTGTGTGTGATGAAAGTGCTATACAGTACAGTATCTGCAGGTTATAAACTATAGCAGCTAATAATGTCCTTTCCTTTAAGGTTGAGGGTTGTGAATTTCTGCTGAAGAGCACTAAACAGCCTTCCCCTTTATGAGGATTTAAAAAACACTGCAAATGGGAATATATGAGATTTTAGTTACATAAGGTTGTTCACATCTAAAAAGCCGGATCTATAACAAAAGGTCCGCAACAGACATACATTAGTTATGATGAGGTATAAACCAGAAAACACTTCAGTCTCATGGAAAACGGCGGAGGAATTGGACCAATTCTGGGAGCAGAACTGGGACAGAGTTGTACTCACTCCGTCTGGGAGTTAAAGAATGCCCATGAGTGAAGAGACAAATACAGAAACAAACTGTGGTTTATGAAGAAATAACTTCTAATCTGAACTGGGCCCTTAAGCCACAATGTCTGCAACCTCCAAATAATCTAGACATACAGAAACATTCTTATTTTAAAACATGAGGTGACATGATCAGATCTAAACTAAGCTTACCGAGCTTTTTTCCTCCATTGCACATACACATATTTTGTAAAGCCAGGGAAGGGGAACAGCTCTGTAAACTGTGTTGTGCCAACAAACATAATGTGTTTTTTCGAAATATATTTCTGTTTAGCCTGCAGCAATATTTGATTTTCTTAGGTAACAGTTAATCAGTCAAAAAATACCAGCCCACAAGGTTCTCTCCTTATCCTTTTGATTATCACTCAATTGTGCTGGCAACAACTAAGCTGTTCTGACTGGTAAAAAGAACAACATCCACATGCACATAAATTGAGTTAGCATCCCCTATCCAAACAATGTATGTGCCAGGTTTGCAGATGTAAGTCCATTGCCGGAAAATACTTTTGGGTGAGAACATTTCTGCAGTCTGGAATCTATATTACATGTCACTTATTAGACGCTTTTATCCAAAGCGACTTACATACTCAATACTGTGGGCAATCCCCACAGGAGCAATTTGGGGTGAAGTGTCTTGCCCAGGGACACAACGACATGCTGACTGCAGTGGGGTTTGAACCTGTGACCCCCTGATCTGAACACCAACGCTCAACCCACTGGACCACACGCCTGCTATATGCATATATTATTGATCCACAGGCTGGTCACAGGATCAAAAATATTTAAGGCACTTGTTGTTTAATACATTTGATTTGACAAGGATTGACTGACAGCAGTTAAGTCTGGAATAGAGGGAACTTACTGGAAGGTTGATCCCATCCTCTTGCCATTTTCTGGAACTCCAGGATCTGGACAAACATCCCCAGCAAGACCGCTTTGACTTACTGAAAGAAAAAGGCAAATATATGGTTAGCAGTATGCATTTGCAATGTGCATTTGAAGAGGATATTTTCACACCCTTTAGGAACATCTTATACAGTTTGAAACATGTACGGCATAAATTAATGCTGACAGGTAAAACATTAAACCAGTTCTCATATCACTTTCTACAGTAAGCTGAAAGTGAGATGGGATTAAAGTCATCTTTGTTATTGTGACCACAAGCATCCAAATCTTTTTTACATTTTTCAACATGTGATGACTGTCAAGGATTTAAGCAGCTCCAACTGTGAGAAATGTCCCCATCTGTTTTTGAAAATTCACAAAATTAGGCAGGCAGCCTTTGAATTTTAAAATAGATCATTGCTCAGTTGACTCAGGATCATGTTTGAAAAATACACAGGCCTCAATATAAAAACAAGGCCTTCACCTTTGTTTTTCCACCTGACGATTTAAGGATTTAAAAAGTGTTTCATCAAAGAGTATCAATGAAAACCCCCATAATGAAAATCCTGTTGTAATACATATCTCAAGGGAACACTCCAAAACTAAATAAACAAATCTCAACCGCCTTGCTGGTCAAAAGGAAGAACAAGAGAAGAAAAGTGCCACTAGGGATGTCTTTTTTTAGTATATACTTTAGCTCTTACAAAGTATGTATTGTTGCATGTATTATGCATACTATTTGGGAATAGCATTTCCTCAACTAATGCACAAAGGATTGTCGGTTAAAATAGCTAGATAAGTGTGCTGTCTTGCATACTGCAAAATGCGTCCAGATGCAGTGGGACGTTGTGACGTTTTTGCAATCTGTATTTGAGATATTTATTGGAATGTATTTAAAAGGTATCGTAGTAAAGGTATTGATATGACAACATATACAGTATGTTTTAATTTGACAGCAGGCATGTTAAGCCTACTTGCAGTGCTCTCAATTACACCTGTGCTTTACCTGCAATGACAAGTCAAACTTTGTCTAAGCGGGGGGATTCTGGGTTTTTCTTGTAGGCCAATTATAAATTGGATAATATTCATAAAAAGAAGTGTCAACAACCATAGATTATTTCAGACAAACAGTGAATTAAGTCTTCCATTATAACTACAAGGCTAAATTAAGATACACTATAGCTAAACTATACATTTTATGAGTTTTTACATTTACGAAATGAATACAAATATTAATTAAAAAATATTCTATTCACTAAACCAATAAAGACATATTTGCATGTAGGCCTACTATGTATTGCAAACCTAGCATGTCACATTTAGCTAACGTTACAGTACGTAGCTCGACATTAGCTAACTGTTGAAGACACATATTAAATCGATGAATAGAGAAAACTCGGCTTCCTCTCATAAAAATAAACCAACTTACATTTATATAGTGTTTCTTTAGCCTATATTTCAGTCATTCTTTATCGCCTATTTTTGTAGTTTTTCTCCGTAAAAGTGCGTTGCTGGCTGCCAGTAGCCAAAGCCTGCTGACAAGCCTCAAGTCAAGATGCATTTAAAGGCAGTCGGTAAATATCATAACTCTTTAAAAAAACAACGTTTTAACTTCATAGGTCGGTGGGAGACGAATATGTTTTACTCAAGCAAAAGTTGTTATACTGTACCAGTTGTTTTTTTTTTGTAATACTCTGTACAAATATCGTACTTTGTGTAACATTTTACAAAAAAAAAGTCAAAAAGTATTACCATCATAACGTACTGAAAGAACTGAAGTAGCCTACAAAATGTAAAGATAGCCAACTCATTATGGCTCATTTCAGCATAATATGGCCTATTGTTGAATTATAATTATAGATGCAATAATGTGTTGCTTTTAATGTTGCAGCTAATAAAAGATGCCAGGAAGCATGATTATGTGTTTGTTAATGTTAGTTTGTTGGATTAATCTGAATCTTTGAGATAGTTAGTTAAATGTAGTGGAGTAAAAATAGCAACATTTTGAATAAAAGTAAAGGTATGCAGAAGATACTCACAGCAGAACAACCTTGATATCTGTTTACTAAGTGCTTCCTGCTTAGCAAACAGAGATCTAAATTCATCTGCAAGAGGTCACTGAGATATTTGACACTTTGTTCTATGTGAATAGAGAGCATAAACATTTGGAGTGTAAAGTAATTCAACATTTGTACTCATGCACAGTCATTTTCAATACTCAGTATACTACTGTATGCTTACAAAAATATATTACCTTTTTACCTCACTTTGTTTATTTTGACAGCTATATTTATCATTAAAAGTTTATACATTAAGGTAGACACGCGTATCAATATTAAACCTAAAACTGACATGATATTAAAATACATTGGAAATAATATTTACATTACAGTATGTAAATGTATAATATATCTTGCAACTTTTTCCATAGTCTTAAACGTATAACATTTCCAAGGACCTTGAGGTTTTAAGTGTAAAAACTTGTCATACCATCAGTAGTTTCGAGATGATGGTACCTTTCCTTTTTGCTTGCTTTATTAAAAAAAATGAAAACCTCCAGGGAGGAATTGTGGAAAAAATGGGTTTTAGATTAAACTTTTAAATTAAAGGACAAAAAATGGTGTTGTTGAAATGAAAACCAACACGTGCGGCGATCTAATGAAGAACACTGCCTTCAGTTCTCACATTCATCTCATTCCCTCCTGCTTTTCTCATCCATCTGCATGATCTGGTTTGTTCCTAAAAAAAGAATAGAGCAAAAATGCAAAACACATTGCAATTGTCGTCCAGCTCATATTTGGGATCTTCCATTGGTTTTAGACTTTGCTGGCTGAGAGCATCTGCTGTATGCCTAAAACCTAATGTAAATGTAAATGAGACCAGACAACATGACAGAAACCAGTTTAGACCAGCTCTGTCTTAATGGAACTCTGTGGATGAATAATGATGGTTAGAAAAAAACTAAGTATAAAGGGAATGGAAGGATAGAATAAATAAAATGGAAATGAGGTGAATGCTATAAAGCAGGGGTGTCAAACTCAAGGCCCGGGGGCCAAATCCGGCCCGCGACTTCATTTTCTGTGGCCCCACAAGAGCTTGCAAAGAATATAATATGTTTATTATACGGTTACATGCTACTTTACAGAAGCAGGTTGCCCATAAACGACATGTCCCACAATGCATCTCAAATGTGACTTTTTTTGTCCAAATATGCCTTTTTTCTTAGAATTAGCCTTTTTCTCATAAATAGATTTTTTTTTCAAAATGTCACTTTCAATATTTTTCCAGAATTTGGCTTTTCTTTTTAAATCATTTTGTGACATTCTCACTGAAGAGACTTGCAATTATTTGCCCTAGACTTCTGCTTTCAGACGTAGTTAATTATGAAGTTATTACCCTATCTGATATTAATCCAATGCAGAGGCAATAATGTAATATAATACATTAGTTTATATATATTCAATATTTATATATGTCTTTTTATATAGTCTTAAAGTTACAACCGGCCCTTTGAGTGCAACCATAATGCTGATGTGGCCCGTGATGAAATTGAGTTTGACACCCCTGCTATAAAGGGACTACAATAAGACAAAATGAAAAAAAAGAGAATATCCTGGAGAAAGACCAATGTCTGACCTCATAATGTCTCTGTTTCTTTCTTTCCATCTGTTCTTGTACCTGTCTCACATGCCTCTCTTTCTGTCTTCCTCATCTGCCTCTGCTCCCACACACTCCTTTACTTTTGTATTGTCGCTTTGCTCACCCCGCTTTTTCTCTCATACACATTAGCTGCAATTTACAAAGGGGTGCGGATGTGTGGTGCATCATAGAATAAAAGATGGATGAATGATTTGCTGCATTTGTGTGATTGTGTTATGTGTATTCTGAGGGGTTGTGAACGTATTGATGCTGTGTATGCGTGTTTGTGTGAGATATGATGCAAACAGAACAAGCTGTCTTGTTGCTCTGCTGTGTTTTTGATGTTCTGTCCAAAAATCACCACAGAAACACGCTCTAAAAGCACACTTTCTCAGGCACGCTCTCTCATCCCTTTCTCTCTCACTCATGTTCAAATGGCTTTCATTGGCATCAAATACAAAGGTTCATATGCCGAAACAAATCCAGCTCATGCAAACAACATGAGATTGTAATAGAAAATAAAAGCTGCCAAATATCTAGCAATACTGCTGGGCTGATGTCAAAAATCCTCAAGCTGACTTAATCCTATATTTGCACTTAAAAGACCTTTCAATGTTTAAACACAAGCTTATATTGCATAATATAATTTCCACATCATCAAAGTGTCTTCAGCAAACCTTTCATCTCTAAAAGTCAACTTTTTAGGGAATGTGTAAAAGCTGATTCATTTTCTCGTTGGTGTATGTTATATCTGGCATTTCTGACGTCTGTACTAGAATCCACTTCATATCTGCGGTCCATTCTATAGACGGAGTTTAAACTCACTAAATGACTCATTCCGTCCTATCATTTGTGATAAAACTATTCACTAATATAATTCCCAGATAGAGCAATGAATGGTGCAATATGCCTTGCATGCCATGTCTGAAATGTTCTTAGATTTCAAGGAGCCGACTTAGCAATAAGTAAAGAGTATTTAATGCTGCAGTAATGGGATGTTGCTGAATATAATATATCATGTTCTATACTAATATCTAACGTTATACAACTTTATACCTTTTCACCATTACAGTTTTGAAGGACATGCTATACTATTAGTTCCACACAATGTATTTGAAAGCTGTTGCTTATTTGTTCATATTCAAATGTCGGTTTCTCTATGAAGGTGTTTATTAAGTATATATTGCATAGGTTACAGGTCAATTTTTTCTATCCTGACAAGCCAGTATTACAATAGTAATACATAAACTGTTAGTTCTAGCTATCACAAATACTTGAGAAGGCGTGTCACGGAAGTTGTTTACCAACAGGAAACCTATCCATCTAATACTCAATAACATATAATGTCAAGTTGAAAAATAAAATGTCTGTTATAAATACAAGGATAACAGATTAATGTTTTCTGATCACTTATTTTTAT